CACCTCATACAACCGTGAAGCAAGCAACGCTTATTCCATTGTGGCATTTCCTGGGTGGCTGGGTGGGTAGGTCGGGAATGGAGGGGCTTTCAGAACGAGTTCGTAACTCGTCCTGAAACACTTGTGTTGGCAGTCCTGGGAGTCAAGAGAGTCGGGGAATGCATAAGGACTGGGGTTTTGCCACCAAGCCCCCCCCAAATATACATTAGTTGTTCCCGGTCCCTGGGGCAGGACCGGGCTGGTACTGGGCAGCAGTCTAGCAACGTCTTGCAGATTGTGGGGGGTTATCCAAGCACTCTCCGGGCTTCTCTCGAAGTGATCCGAGTCAGTGTGTGGTGCGAGTCTGCTCAGGTAGTGGACTTTTCTTGTTGCGGTCCATGTTCACATCAGTCTCATGTCCATGTTAAGCCCATGTTCATGCCCATGTTCGTCCCATGTTGGAAAACCACCAGGTCGAAGGACCCCCCAAACCCCCTCAATATATACTTTCCCGCGGCCCCGAAAATGTATATTCGAGGGGGGGCCTACGTTTTTCGAGTTGGGCGTAGGGGTTACGTAGCGATGCGTGCTCGCCTCCGAGCAGTGATGGATCGCATCGGCCCTGCTGGCAAGACACTGGCCACGGGGCTTGGAGTCGGCGGGATTTCTAAGCTGGCGGTGGATGGACACGATATGTGGCAGGCGCGCATAAAGCGCCAGCAAGAAGCAGACGATCGCGCTCGTGTGAAAGCACGCGTGATCCACAGCGCCTTCCACGCTGCCAAGCCCGAACTGGCCGGTGCTTAGCATTGTGCTTTGTGCTTTGGGCCTGCCCGGTTCTTGTGGCTTGTACAGTGACAAAGACCATCCGTGGTGATCTGTTCTGTGTGTGTGCCTGACCCAATGGAAAAAAAACTTCCTTATTCCAGGGGTGCCACCGGTTCTGCCGCATTTGGCTTGATTTGATGAAAAGACGCGGAAAAAAAAACCTCCGTATTCCAGGGGTGCCACCGGTTCTACCGCATTTGGCTTGATTTGATGAAAAGACGCCGAAAGGCCGTATTGTCAAAAATACTGTGCCCGATTGAAAACCGTGGTTTGGAGTACAAAGGAAACGCACTTCGTTAAAGTCCGTGTGCTGCCAGACCATTGGAGCATGAAGAAGCAGGTTGTTTTTACAAGAGAAGAAGGTTTTTTTATGCGTTGTTTGGAAACCTCTGAAACCAACAAAGCCGTGTCGCTTGAACGATCCAAACCTGCATTGTCCTTCGGCAGTAGCGTTTGCAGCATGAAGTGCATTTGGTTGGAATAGAATGCAAAATTTCATGTTTAGGAAAATCAAATCTCACAGGTTGCCTCCACCGTTACTTTGAAGCGGTTCTTACTTATTTTCAACATTACACCCTGAACTGTTTCAGTTATCACAAGGGGTTGAGTTGAGCGCTGTGAATTTCTGAAGCACTCCCATTTACTGCGCATGTCTCTGATGAGAGATGGCTGTTGGGCTTCGGCCTTCCTGTAGGGGACATCCAAAAAGTGGGCACATCAGACCACGATTGGCAAACTAAGGCCAACCTTCTGCAAGTCATTTCAATTGCGAGGAACAATGGAATGATTGTTGCCAATTGTTGCGTCCCACTTAAGCCAGGGAACCCGCAACCCCTCAATTACGAACTTAGGAGCCTAGCGAGGATCGAGCCCGACAAGGCGCTGTGAGAGCGCGGGGGTTGAGCGCTGTGAGAGCGCAGATTGGAGCAAGCAAGGAGCCCGAGTAGGCGCTGTGAGAGCGCGGGGGTTGAGCGCTGTGAGAGCGCGCATTGGAGCAAGCAAGTGAGCGCTGTGAGAGCGCGGATTGCAACAAGCAAGGAGCCCGAGTAGGCGCTGTGAGAGCGCGGGGCTTGAGCGCTGTGAGAGCGCGGGTTGCAGCAATAAGGAGCCCCGAGTAGGCGCTGTGAGAGCGCTGGGGTTGAGCGCTGCGAGAGCGCGGATTACAGCACCAGGCAGGTCCCGAAGTATACTTTCAACTTCAGTTTCAAGCCGGGTCTTGGACTGCAGGTGATGGTCGGACTTCGTATCCTTGCTCGTCGCTGGTCTGCTCGGGCCTCACATTCCCGGTGTGCAGCAGTCAATTGCAAGTGACGGTGCGTAGGACATGAGCACCTGTGAGTTGTGCTTTAGCTGCGTTGGATGTACACTGCATTGACAGAGAGCATGTTGCCCAAGCTCACAGCAGAGACATGTCTGCGTGGTTTTCATGTTCTTCCTAGAATCCTAGAACTCCAGCATCATGCTCTGGGGGGTAGGCAACATCTGTGACAGCGCAACGTGCAATCATGCTTTTGACAGATGCTCAAAGAGGTTCAAAGCGAAGATGCAGTACATCATACGATTGCTTCGAAACTAGGTCTGTGTGAGTGCGCGCTCGCGATCATGTCTCGGGGAAGCGGCTGGGAGAAAGGTCACTGGGACGAGTCGGCCCACTGGCAGCCGGAGGAGCCCAGTGACAAAGGCGACAAGTCCAAGCCGGACGACTGGGTGGAGCCAGAAGAACCCCGCGGCAGCGGTGATGGCAGCAAGTCGAAGCGGAAGAAAGAGTGGGAGGAAGACTGGCGACATTGGTCCAAAAGCCAGACCTACAGGGAGCAAACCGCGCCCCGCTTGTAGCGCAAGTAAAGCGCATGCAAAAAGGAATGGACAACCTCGTGGACAGGGCGACGACTGCAGAGAAGAACTCCTTGCATGCCTACACGATGCTGAGCTCTCTGTCGTCGGGCATTGAGGCCCGGTGCTGGGATTCGTGATTGCTGACTTCTTGGTGTGGACAGCATTCCGTAAACGCTCTGCTGATTGGCAGGACCAGAAAAAGCTGAAGGACCAGATGGCGTCTCTAATGCAGAAGAACACAGAGCTGGAGGAGGCGCAAAATTAAAGTGACAAAGACAATAGCCGTGAGATGATATCGGGCCGAGGCTGCAGCAGCGGCCCAGCAGCAGATGAAGCAGTCTCAGGCGTGCGGTGTGTCATGTTATTGCGGCAACACAGCATGCCGTCAAAATGTCCAGGACCTCGCCGGGAAGCAGGCGGTTGGTCTGGCGGCAGCCGCAAAGCAGGACAAGGCCAGTCGCTCAAAGTTTGCACTGATCGCTACTGACGGGCCCTGTGGACCGGACCAGGTTTCCGACGACAGGATCGCGGAGCTCCAAGGAGACAAGAAGCTTCTGCAAGAGGAGAAGGCGAAGCTGGAGGCAGCTTTGCAGACTGCAAACAAGGAGTCGACGAAGCAGAGGGCCGAGGATATTAAGAACGCCAACTTCTTGCGGAAGGGCCTCAAGGAAATGACCGAGAAGCATGAGGAGGAGATGAAGCTGAAGGCCAGGCAGATTCGTGTAGACTTGTTGCGAGTGTGTCCTGAGAATGCCAGCGCACGGTGCCAGGACGAAGCACGGATGTCGTGCCGCGTTCTCCGGGAAAGTCTGGACAAAAGCCAAGAGTCGGAGAAGAAGCACAAAGCTTTAGTGTCGGCTTTGGAGAAGGACATTCTCGTCAAGCTGGGCAAGGAGGACAGAGCCAAGGCGGGCATGTTCGATATATTTCGTGGTGCGTCTAAGCCTAAGCTGCAGCGAGGCGACAATCAAGAAGCTCCAATCGGAGCTCGCTGTTTCGAAGACGGCGGAAGCCGACGCGGAGGTTCCAAACCCTGTCGTAATTAGACCTAGCCTGGCCTACTTGGTACGCTGCAACGAGGCAACCACGAAGCATCTGAGATCGGAGCTCCTCGCCGCGACCGCGCGAAGTGCAGAGCTCCTGATGGAGGAGGCGGCTTCGGGATGTTCGCCTGTCTGTTTGTCGCAGCATAGCCCTTAACTTCAATTGGTCCGATGTCAGGAGACCATGAGCTGCAAGCTGCTCGAGCAAGGTTTGGAGTACATGAAGATGGAGAGTCAGGAGGCTGCCAAGGGAGCGGGCTTCCCAAGACGAAGTGTGTGCGAAATGTTCAGTGTCTCAGGACGCACTCCGATCTGAGATGAAGATGCTACAGGCCACACATGTACGCAGCCGCATAAAATCAATGACTAACACCTGCTCAGGAGGAAATGTTGGCCATGAACTTCTCCCAGCGGACCGCGGCGCCCAAGGACCCGGCCTTTTTTTTCAGTTGGTCTGCACAGGCCCGTAATCTCCGCCTTGCAGGAAGGACAGTCCGACCAGGTGATCCCTGTTCAGGAGGACACAGATCTGCTGGCAGTTTGCATGTCCGATATCAACACTTGACTTCATGCTGTAATGACAGGACCGGCCATCACCAACGAGCCCTGCCAGCCGTTCCGACTCTCAGGCACCGACCTGCTTCCCCGGGTAGCCTTTGACCTATGCAGCAGTTTGCGCAGTCGCGAACAATCCCGATGTAGGCCGCAAGCGACTCCGACAAGGAGCTACTTGGTGAAGTTTATAAGCAGTACTCCGCGGATTTAGTCAACAAGCGCACTCTGAGGTGACATTTTGTCCCTGCGCGACGGCCTGCTTCCGAAAGCCACGGCACCTGGCCAAGCCATAAATCGTCGTTGACTTGCGTGTCTTGGATTCTCGCCTTGTTTGTCAGTCGTATTGACCCTGCGTATCAGGTGCTGTCATGCTCTTCCGCCAGGACAAGCCAGCGCTGACAAAAAAACTGTTTCCTATGTCCGAGTGCGATCTGCAAGTGCACTGAGCAGATGAAAAGAGCCTAGCATGGTCTCGCTGACTGAGGTTGAGGAAGTTGGGGCCCACGCGTGAAATGGTGAGGTCGGCCAGAAGCCAAGTTCTCATTACACGCAGCATGCAGACAAAACTCATTGATAGGAGGACAGAGCTCAGCGGGTGTGTCGAATGCCGGGCTCACTTGATGCTGTTGCGGAGAATCAGTTGCCATCCAGAATCACCAGTGCCTATAAGGAAATATTTTGCGTTAGGTATCGGATCTAAATTCTAAACCCCCAACCTTAAACCCTGACACCTGAAGCCTAAAAAAAAACACCCGACAGCTCCTGAGCTGCGATCTTATCTTCACAAGACCAACACTCTGCCGCAG